GAGAATAAAGATGAAGAATACCAACTAATGAGTAAGACAAAGAACTCCATGAGCCATACAAGGCAACAAGAGGTGCATGAAGGCTCATCTTCCTTGCATGAAAGAAGATATCCAACACGTGAGAGAAGGCCACAAGGTGAATGGTGGAAGAATCACATCTTTCCACAAGTAAGTGAAGACCATGCCAATGTTGCTCTTCTTGATGATCTATTGACTTTGTGTGATGCAATGAGGTGTGGTGATGCAATGAAGTGGGAGATTGCCATGCAAGAAGAATACAAATCTCTTATGGACAATGAGACATGGGAGTTGACTCCACTTCCACCAAATCGATCAGCAATTGGATGTAAGTGGGTGTTTAGAACCAAGAGAGATGCTATGGGCAATGTTGTGAGGTACAAGGTAAGATTGGTTGCCAAAGGCTACTCACAAGTTGTTGGAGTGGACTTTAATGAGACATTTGCACCCATGGCCAAGTTCACCACCATTAGAACCATAGTAGTAATTGGAGCATCAATGGACCTTGAGATGCATCAAATGGACGTCAAGACAGCATTCTTGAATGGAGAATTAGAAGAAGACATCTACATGGAGCAACCTCAAGGATTTATTGAACAAGACAAACATCACCTTGTTTGCAAGTTGAGGAAGTCATTGTATGGACTCAACCAATCACCAAGAGCATGGTACCAATGCATTGACTCATTCTTTGTGAAAGAAGGTTTTGTAAGGAGTGAAGTTGACCATTCTTTGTATGTATTGCAAGCCAAGGACTTCTTGCTGGTTGTGATCCTCTATGTAGATGATTTAATCATCTTAAGCAACACCATGGTAAGATTGGATTGGTTGAAGAAGAAATTAGAGGGAGAGTTTGAGATGAGTGATTTGGGAGAGCTCCATTATTGTTTGGATGTGGAATTCACAAGAAGTAGAGAATCAAAGACCATCACATTGAGCCAAAGCAAGTACATTGAAGAAGTGTTGAAACGATTCAACATGGGAGATTGCAAGCCCATTGGGACTCCTTTGGAGGCCAACTTGAAGTTGATGAAGCTCACGGATGAGGAGTATGCTGAAGTTGAGCATCAAATGCAAGGCATACCATACAAGGCAGCAGTAGGCTCACTCATGTATGCAATGGTAGGCACAAGGATGGATCTTGCATTTGCGGTAAGTGTTATAAGCCAATACATGGCAAAACCAGGTCCTATGCATTGGGCAACCATCAAGAGAATCATGAGGTACTTGAAAGGCTCTTTGAACCTCAAACTATGTCTTGGAGGAGATAATATTGCATTACATGGATATTGTGATGCGGATTGGACTGGAGATGCAAACGATAGAAGGTCAACAACGGGCTATGTATTCTTTGTTGGAGTGGGAGCCATATCTTGGAATTGCAAGAGACAACCAACCATTGCAAGGTCCACAATGGAGGCGAAGTACATGGCAGCAAGTCATGGAGCAATGGAGGCAATTTGGTTGAGGTTGTTATTGGAAGATATTGGACTTGTGCAATTGGAGGCCACTCCATTGAGGTGTGACAATCAAGGATGTCTTGCTTTTGCAAAGAATCCAAAGCATCATGCAAGAACCAAGCACATTGATATTCAGTATCATTTCATAAGAGAGAAGATAGAGATGGGAATTATTGATATGATGTATTGTGAAACCAAAGATATGTTGGCTGATTTGTTGACAAAAGCTTTAGTTAGAGAAAGACACAACAAGTTGAATAAGGCATTAGGATTGATAGGTAATTGACCAATAGCAAAGTGGGAGTGTTGAAGGAAAGAACTCTTTAAGTAGTTGCTAATGGTCAATAGAGTACAAGTGTTGTTAGGGATATCTCATAAGGTTAGGTGCTGGTCTATAGTGCATCAGAGTACAAGGGGAGGGCTGGTCCTAGGAGATATCTCATACGGGTTGTAGCACTTGGTACCTTGGTACTAGTATATAGGAAAAGGATTGGCATGGGAAGAATTATCTCATACCACACTCTATTTGTTAAAGTGCAACCTTGCTGGCCTTAACTTACTTGTGTGGAATATGCTTTCTATGTTTCAACACTTCTATCCTTATTTATAGTTTTTGTCTTATTGTGGTAGTAAAGAGATGGAGAATCAACACTTAACAAATTCCATTTAAGAACTATTATTTTCTGACATATTAGACAAGACATTGTGATTATCTCAGCCTTCAAGATAATATAATAGAAATGAAAACCTTCAAGAATGATATTTTTTTTTTTGAATAAATGGCAAGATATAAGGCATTTGGTATCATGGTCTGAGAAGAAAGTCTTGATATTTGGTGATTTTATTAGAAGTAGGAACGACTCTTGATGGTATTACAAATATTTTGTTTAAAAGAAGTTACGAAGGTTTCAACAATGCTCAAATAATATGGTGGTCTTCCTACTCTAGAATAGGATATTATTGATGGCTGAGAAGATCTATCAACTATCTTCAAAAGAAATAAAGATTAAAGTACATAGTAAACATAATTTGTTGCATCTTAAACTTCCTCAACATGTAATCATTGTTCTTTGTGGAACTCATATCTAAAAAGAGGGATAATATCATAGACATTAATTTATTATAATTGTTATTTAAATAATATGAATAAATAGAAGTATATAAAAATAGATTAATTTCATAATATATTCTAAAAAAATTTCTTAGAAGCTTCATAGATGCTACTTTGACTTTACATATGTTTGTAATTGATTGATAGGTTAGAAACTTGGTCAATAAGCAAACCATATGCCATACATGTTGATTGCTTGCAAAACAAACTAATCATGTGACACCTATATAAAAAAGCTTGATTTACAAATTAAGATAAGTGTTGTATCAAGTCAACATATTTTTGGAGGTCCTATAGAACATTGCCACATAGCTCCTAAGTAGATAGTATATATAGAGACAAGAATAAAGCTTTTTTCACTCTAGTGAATTCCTTTCTTACTTCTAGTCTTGTTTTAAGAGTCTCTAGTTTTCTTGACTTTTTGCAATAGCCATTCCAATTTCCTCTTAATATACATATTTTTTTATTTTTATTTTATCATACTTCTTTAAGAAAGTCTAACTTGTTTATTTTCTTTCATTTAATTCTTGTCCTTAACAACTTCCAATGCAATATCATTATTGTCTTAAGGCAGGTGATTGTTCTTTTAGAAACATTTGGAATATTGATTATCCATTTAAAGGAGCTATAATAGTTTTTGGTAGAGATTTTTGCCAAATATTGCCAGTAATTATGAAAAGAACTTCAAATGAAATTGTAGCAACATCTTTTTGATATTCAACACTTTGGCCTCAAATAAAAATCCATATATTTAAAAAAAAAAAAAAAAAAAAAAAAAAAAAAAAAACATGAGGTTGAATTCAAGAGCATTTCAAACAAATATTGAATTTTTTAATTGGCCTTTTTAGATATAGAATGCATACATACATTATATATATAGATGGTGGTGCATTTGAATTCTTCATAGTTACATTATTATTGACTAATATTTCTATTTGCTACTTTTCAAATAAAAAATAATATAAACTTATTACCAAATAATGTAGTTATGGTTCTTCATCACATGATTATTAATCAACAATTAATATCTTTAGTGGATGTTGTTTATCAAAGAATACTAGAAGACGGTATAGCAAATGATGCCTTCTTTAGAAATAAAATCTTTTTATTTACATAGACTGATGATACAAAGGATATTAATGAAAAGATTATGGCTATATTTTTTAAAGAAGAATAAGAAAATCTAAGCACTCATGAAGTTGTTATTAAAGATAGTATTGACAATAATAATATTTATCTAGTCAAATTCATCAAGTCACTTAATCCATTTGGAATGCCTAGATCAAGGCTTTGTCTTAAGATTGAAACTTTGGTGATGCTACTAAGAAATTTTGTTCCTTGCCAAAGATTTTACAATGGAATCTGATTGATAATTACATGACTAATGGATCGAGTTCTTTTAGCAAGAATTCTTGGAAGAAAATTTGTTGGAAACTTGGTATTTATGTCATGGATTACATTAACTTCTATAACAAAAAAAAAATCTATTTATTCTAAAAAAAAAAATTCTAGTCTGTCTTGCATTTGTAATAATAATAAACAAATACTAAAGACAATTGGTGAAGTGTGTTGGTTTGGATCTATGACAACCTATTTTTTTTTCCCTCAATGCACTTCCACTTGTTCAGTTAAGATTCTTCTTCCTAGAAATGACAATTTAAATTCCATACTAAATATTGTTTGCTTAAAATCAATAAAAAATAAAAGTTTCAAATCAATAAAAAGTAAAAGATAAAATAGAATGTTTCATACAAATGATATATCTTAAATTTCCTAAAAAAGAAAATCACCATCATGATCAAGTTGAAATTCTCCAGGTATTAATTTAGTGAATTTATTTTAGAAAATGCAATATCCCTACATGAATACAAAAACAGAGGTTAAGAAGAATGTTATGTATGTATATATATATATATATATATATATATATATATATAGTTTATATTTAAATCAGAAAAATAAATAATTTTTTAAAACAGTAATCTCTTTTTCACACAAAGTTTGGTGTTGGGTTTGTCAGTTTCCACAAAATACTAGTTGCAGTAACACACCAAAAGTCATAGTTGTTCATTTGTTTTTCAAATAAGAAATTTCTGAACATGATCTTAGAATCATCAAAATTTTAGAAAAATAATGCCTTTGCGTAAAGTATCCCAGAAATTCGTATTTTGTGAAAGAATAAAAAGAATTGGCAAAAAGAAGAGAAAAAACATTCCCCTTTTCTTCTGCAAAGAGTTTCAGGCACGGGGAGCCAATTACGAGGAATTCTTCGTCAAACCTGAGCCAGCGAACGATACTTCGTTCAACGACCGACGCACGATTAAGGTTTCGTCGGACGAGTAGGTCAGCGCAATTGGGTCGCGTCTCGTGCCTCGCTGGTCACCGAACAACCTATTACACACAGAGCATGGAAAGGGTAGATTTCTTCTGGGTATTTTGAGTTGGCTTCTTTCACGTTGTTTGATTGTTGGGTTTTGGACAATTTGACGTTATGTGTGATTTCTTTCACTGACACTCTGTGCTTGGGGAGTGGATTGGGCAATAGCAGCTTCAGATTGTGAGTGTTTGATTCAGCGATGGCGAACAAGGGTGCGAAGAAGCGGAAGGAAGAGAACGAGAAGCATATTGCGTTTCTCCGGAACTTGATTCTGATATCGAACACGCTTTATGTCGTTTTGAGATTTGGTTTAAGGTTTGGGAGCCTTCGGTGGTTTCATGGAGGGATGTTTTGCTTCACATCGGCTATCTACAAGCTCGTGTACGATCAGCTGGCAGGTATGGCCAAGCCGGAGATCGACGCAGCCACCGGCGAGATTTTGGACGGGGGTTTCGATATGAGCACCGGGGGGCTCTGCAGCTACATGCACGACTTGTTGTACATCACCAGCTTCTTGCAAGTGGCGTCAATACTATCTGACAAATTTTGGTGGCTCTATCTTGTTATCCCTGCTTTCGGCATCTACAAGGTCTGGCCCTTCATCTACAACAATTTCTTGAAGCCCGCACCGCCGGAAGGTCCTATGGACGATAAGGAGAGGAAGAGACTGGAGAAAGCAGAGAGGAAGGCTAATCGTCCGAAATTTGGAAAAACGAGGAGATGATAACAGACTCCCCTGCTCTAGGTATAGGGTTAATCTCAAGTTGAGCCTACGCATTGTATCTAGTGTGATTACACTCGACTGTCTTTCAAGGCCACACGATATCTTTTTGTTTCTTGCCTGTCACTTGTGATTAAGAGATAACACATCTTCTGTGTAGTTGTTCCTAGTCGCTTCCAGTCTTTGGTGTCTGTAGTGTTTTACATTTCCTGATGAGCTCTGGCGTTTCATCCCATGTGCTGCCCGAGGGAGATGGCTACGTTGCTTTCATGAGGAAGTATCATTGTGGCAACATGCTGTGGGAAATCGTAGCCAGAAATCCTAGAATTCTTCCTGGATTTTGGCACGCTGCCTTGTACTGAGGAGGTAATACATGTAACCCACTTCTCCAATGAGATTTTTGCTTTGTTAGAATATTGTAAGAGGGTCTATGAACTTGCTTGAAAGTGAGCAGCGTGGTGAAGCGTTCCCATCTTCATCTTGCAAAGCCTCCTCGTGGCTCTTTTTTTCTCTTCTATCTTGTCTTCTGTTTGAAGCACTACGTGCATGGTAACAAGGCTTGGCCCTACATCTTTCCTTCCGTATGTGGCGATAGCCTTTTGTGGTTGGATTGGGTCTAGTTTAGAGACAGCACAGCTAGTAAAGCTTAGCTGAGAAGGATGCACTCTTTTTCTCTGTAATTATCTTCGGATAGCCTGGCTCGTTAATACAGCAACCACAGCAGTTAATTCTTCTTCTTTTTATCATGCCTCAATTCATGTTAAACTAGCATCAACGTTCATAATCTTTGCTCCTCAAACTAAAAAGCACCAATTCTACAACAAAGCACAAAAATATTTCTCTAAGAAATAATTATGGATGCTTTTGAAGTATTTGTGTCTAAAATTTATAATAATAAATATCCATTTAAATTTCCTAGAATTAGAAATAGAGATATACATATATATATGTATATATTGCTAAATTGACCTACCTATTCTAACTATCATCAAAAAATTCTCTATTGCAGGAACCATATTGGTTGAATTTGCAACCAATAATGATGCGTGGGTAGGTTTAGAAGAAGGAGCAATTTAACAATTGTCCAACTATATATACACTAAATTAAATACACGTCAAGAAGAACGCATGAGTTATTTTGTAATTGCATTTTAAGTTTACTTTAGTTGCATTTTCGTAACTCTGTGCATCGTTTCCTTTTGTTTTTGTTTTTGTGTTTTATTTTTATTTATTTATTTTTTTTGTTAGTGTGTGTGTAAATATCTAACTGTGTGTATTATTATCGTCATTTTTACTGTTATATTGATGAGACATGTTTGTGTGATAGTTAATTACATTGTGATTTGCATTCATACTTCATGTTATTATATATGAAGAAGTCCTCTTCAAATATTTTTCTTAAAGCAAAGTAAGCACTCTAATGGTATATATATTCTTAAAAACAACGAATAAAACTATGTCATTAGATTAATTTAAAATTATTCACATAAAAAACACAAGAATATTTCAGCTCACAGAATATGACATTTGCAATATTAAGTTCGTATTATTTACAACTTCAATTTAACATACGTCACTTATCCATCCATGTCCTCAAACACCTCTAACAACCAAATTCTAAAACACAAGCACCTCTCACAACAAAACACACTCGACAACACAGACACAAGCAACTTAAGAAAACACAAATGAATGCCATTTCCACAGAGAGAAAAGATAAAACACTCATCAAATATTCCCCCCATTTGCTAAAATTGTTGTACAAGCAAATCTCATCATCGTCAAAGCACAAATAAGAATGAAAAGGATTCCAAAGCCAAAATGGAAGCCAGGTCCACAATGCAACGCATGATGACACAACTCTAGATTACAACACAGAATTTACACCGACCTACCGACTTGGGGTCGTCGAATCACGCCCGGACGAAGATGCGCAGCTCGCCGCGGTCGCCGCGACTGATGCGAAAATCCGAGTCCAAGTACGTGGTGTCGAAGCTGCCGCCACGCGAGTTGGATGGCTGCCTCAGAAATTCCGGTAACGGAGGCGTGTCGAAGGAGGGCAATTGCGACAGCCCCCCCGTGGGCTTCACCGTCGTCTTGTCGAACACGATGCGGATGCTGTTGCTGCTCGTCACCTCAAACGTGTGGGCTAACGTTGCTGTCACTTCCACTGGAGGTAGTGGCCACGGAGTTCCCACTCGCAGATCCACGATGTTGTCTAGCTCTTTGCTTGCTACGTCTATTCTTTGGTACACCTGCGGTAGTCGTGAGCATATTGGTTTAGAAAGGTGGAGTCTTGGGGGAGAACAGTAAAAAGGTTCAAGAATCGATCGATGCAGTGAAGTATTTTCGAACCTGGCCTAGGGTGAGTGGGAGTAGCCGGCCCACAGGTGGTCCTGGTCTCTCGCCTCCGAGACTGCCTGTTGCGAATCCGCTGGTAAAGACCAATCGCCATCTGCCTTGCAGCAAGTCTAAGTCCCTTGGTAGCTCCACCGCGTCTCCTGCTGCTTCCAATTTGCGGGCTGCTGCATCGGCTGCTGTTTCGTCGTTCGCGGTTGCCAGCAAGCCCCTGTCCAACCCTGCGATTATACTCTGCATTGCCATATGAATTCCAACATGTTATGCATCATTTGGGTGATAGTTGTGGGAAGTGTAACTGGTTACGATGTGCGTCAGTCAAATTACTGGCGAGATTGATAATTGTGACACTGACAGAGATTAACGACCTTAGGGCTCGATTCACGGGAAAGCTCTTTTCGATTGCATGCGATTCGCGTAAGCCTCACAAACATGAATGTAAGCATCGGACATGTGAGTGGGTGTGGCGACTCTTACAAGGAGCTCCGTCTTGAGACTCGAAACGTTGCTCTCATTCTTTTCGTTTCCACTCGAGAATGGTGGATTTGCGGTAAGAGGCGCGGTTGTGGCGGAAACTTTAGGTAAGTTTGCCGAAACGATTCGGTTCCCGGCTCTCGGTTCTTGCGCGACGCTCGGAAACCTGGATTCTCCTGCAAAGAACAGGGAAACGGGCCTTGACACCCCAACTGCAGATTCTTGTCCACTGTGTCGGTGAACCGCCGAAGTGACGCCCGTGGGCGTCAGTGCCGTGATTGACGCCATGACCCTCAGCGTAAATCAGGACAGCAACAACCCAACACCTGGTCGTCCTTGAAGAACACACAGCTTCGTGGACAAGTTCTAAATCCCTGAAACACCTCAATTCTCAGCCACAGCTGCAAGTGCACCAAATTCCGACAGCCAACCGATAGAATAAAGAGTGAAAGTACAGTTCTACACCACAGAGGCTGCTATGCAATTCGAAGTAAGAAATCCAACGTGCGCGCGGAAACTGTAATTCACAACATTCGAACAACCCATGAAGCAGTCCGAAGAGAAAACGATGACTGACCTAAGCGCGTGGCGCAGTAGTGGAGACTTTGCGGAAGACTAAATCAGTATTACGGTGCAAAATCAAGTTAAAAGGATGGCAAGGAACTTCCGAACGATTCCAGTGTGTTGGAATATATGGTATTCGGAAGATATCACTGGGTCCTAAGAAACAAGTGTTTGCTGGGCTTGAAAGCACGCAGCGTGGCGTCCTGGCGACACCATGACCTCCCGATGAATGAAGAAGCTTCCAGATGAACAGACACTTCTCTACTTTCACCAAGAGTGTGTCGAATACGTCGGTGTGAAAGGAGGCCTTGGATAAGGGGTTGGAGCTGAGAAAATCGACACTCCGAGCTGATGTCTGTCTGCTGTGAAGAAACCTGCTTTCAGACTCATCATCGCCTGGGAGTTCCGCTTCGTAGCAATCAGCCATGGCGGTCGGCAAGAATAAACGTATCTCGAAGGGAAAGAAGGGAGGCAAGAAGAAAATGTAGCGCTCTCCTTCTCCTTCTCTTTACAGGAATGGCTAATTCGCTGTCCTGCTGCGCTGGTTTGAGTTTAGGTTTCGAGGTTTGTGTTTGTTTCCACGCATTGACGCGGAGGACGGTGGGATGTAATGCAGTGTCGATCCTTTCTCGAAGAAGGATTGGTATGACATCAAGGCCCCCAACACCTTCACGCAGAAGTCGCTGGGGAAGACCCTGGTGACCAGGACCGCGGGTACCAAGGTAAGAGCATGCTGCTGGGTGGGTCGGGGTGTGTGCATGGTGGCGGTGAATTGAGTGGACGTAGGGTGCACGCAGCATTGATTGGGTGCGAATGTGGTGGAAGAATTGTGGGGTTGACGAGAGGGGTGTTGCGTGGGGCGCAACAGATTGCGTCCGATGGGTTGAAGGGGCGCGTGTTCGAGGTGTCGCTGGCGGACTTGCAGAACGACGAGGACCAGGCTTTCCGGAAGATCAAGCTGAGGGCGGAGGACGTGCAGGGGAAGAATGTGCTGACGAACTTCTGGGTACGTGGTGTGCGACGGGGTGTGAGTGTGAGTGTGGGTTGAATTAGGTGAGAGGGTGGTGGGCGCAACGAAGGAAGGAAGGAAGGGAGGAAGGAAGAGGGGATTAGTGGGTTGTAGTAGTTACGGAGAGCAGCAGGGGAGGTGGCATTGTTTTTGTGGAAGGGGTGGTGATAAGAGGCAGAAGGTAAGAGGTGGGTGCGTGAATGGATGCAGGGCATGGACCTGACGACGGACAAGCTGCGGTCGCTGGTGCGGAAGTGGCAGAGTCTGATCGAGTCACACGTGGATGTGAAGACGACGGACAACTACATGCTTCGGATATTCTGCATTGCATTCACGAAGAAGAGGCCGAACCAGATCAAGAAGACATGTTATGCACAGAGCAGCCAAATTCGTCAGATCAGGCGGAAGATGAGGGAGATAATGACGCGGGAAGCGCAGAGTTGTGACCTGAAGGAGCTGGTGGCGAAGTTCATCCCGGAGGTGATCGGGAAGGAGATCGAGAAGGCAACGCAGGGGATCTACCCGCTGCAGAACACGTTCATCAGGAAGGTGAAGATATTGAAGGCTCCGAAGTTCGACCTCATGAAGTTGATGGAGGTACGTCCTAATAGTGATGTTTTGCACGTGGAAACAAACTGTTTTTGTGTAAATTTTATTGGTGAGGTTGCCGGAAATTTTTGATACTTTGAGCACTGCATTCTTTCATATGTATGTATGTATGTATGTATGTATGTATATTTTCACACACGTACATGTATGTGTGTATGTGCACGTTTGTAGCTCCGTTCAGCTGTAGTCCAGAGTAGTGTTTTTGGTCATTGTGGCCGTAGTTGGCTATTCTGTATCAGGTTTAATTTTTCTTTCATCGCGGGTTTGACAGGTTCATTTGGAGATGATGTCCCGGAGACTGAGGCTGCTCCGGTCCCTGGTGCCTAAGTTTCGGTGCTGTTTTTGACGCTGAATCCTACTCATAGCATTTGTAGACAAGTTGTGTTAATCCACAGATGTAGTCGGATTTTTTGACTCAGATTAAGAGCATTCTGTAATTTACATGTAATCCACTATCTTCCTTCCAAGTTTCTTTTGTCAGATTGTGTATGTCGTTCGTGCCACTCCTTTACCTGATTTTTTATGTGTTTTTGTTTTTTTGGTATTTGTTTTTCTTAAATTTGTCTTGGTTGTGAGTACTTTTGGGTAAGTTACTTTGAGACATAGGGCGGTTTGTGTTTGTAGAGTGAAATGAGGGCTCGTTGTGTGAGCTTGTTGTTACGCAAGGCACATTGAAGGTGGCAAATTCAAGTCTTGTCTATGTATGATTCATTGAGGGATAGGTTGGAAGTTGGATGATATTGTTATTGACATAACATGAAAGAAAAAAACTATTGCAGAAAGCAGTGAAATATTTTTAACTATTTCATTTACATTCGATTGATGTAATGCATATTTTAGATTTTAAAATTGTGGCTGGAATATTTTGGAATTTTCTAAGCAATGTTTTGCGCATCTGCTTATATTACAGTTGTTTAAAGGTAATTAACAACTACCTGATGATGTTACTTTCAAGTATCATCTCAAATTTCACTAACTAAACAGAGAACATGAAGTCTTCTCATCTGAGATGTATGGTTCTACATTCTTAGTATAAAATTCTAAATATCTTGTTCAATTCAACATGTGTGCTAGTAACATCACTTTAATGCAATTAATCAAGAGCAATGTGAAAACATGCATTGTTTATGTGTAGCAAACAATATATGCAGAATGTCAAATACATTCCTTTTGTATTGAGGTATAGTATTGATGAATATAATTGCCATAGTAGTTTTTAAATGTATCACATTATTGTTCATGGTTTTAAAATGATTCATGGTTTTTAGAATTTCTTAATAAAGTGTGGATGACCAAAAGAACATGACAACTAGAGTAGTTTTTTTTTTTTTTTTTTTTTTTTTTTATCTTGTTTTGTTATCTTTCTATTAAACAAAAAACTAAAATAATTATGGTTTGTTTAGTTTTATGTTTTCAAGTTAATAGAAGAAATTTTATGGCAATAAATAATAACATCTTAGAAGTATTGTTTTTAACTTCTAATTTTATTTATACATTGTTCAAAAAGTGTTATGTTTCATGTTAATACCAATGTGTTTTTGTTACAAAACAAGTAAAATCAGTCATTTATCAAAGTATGTAGATCAAATCATAATAGAATAGATATAATAATATGTTTGGAGATATTGGACTAAGAGAATGAGCAAGAAAAGAATATTTGGATAATAGAGAAGCCAATGAAAAAGGACCATCATGGAATTTAGTAGAGGATACAACTTATTATTAGATGAAGAAGGAGATGACCACAATTTTAGGAGAATATTAATTGAAAGGTGAGACCAAAAGTTATAGGCTCTACCTAAAACCATTGTCTAAACTTTGTTTTTTTTGTAGTTTTAGCAAGAAACAACTCAAAGATAAAGATGAACAAGGTGAATATATTTTATGATGCAAGTTAACCATCTTCAATGAATCTAAGTTCTATTCTTTTGATGCAAATCAACACTATCTTCATTCATTGTGCCTTATAAATTTAGGTGACTTCTTCCAAACAATTTTCTCCTATGGATCTTTCCACTCTAATGCTTCTTATTGATTAACAACATTACTTTTGATGCAATTCCTTAACAACAATGTTGAATTGATTGTGCTAAAAGAAGTTAATTTCAAATATATTGGTAGGACTTATTTGTTTCAAGAATTTGGGTTTATAAATTAATTTTTCATCATTCATTTTTTTTTAATTTAGAAATAATTACATTCTCTTTGAAGGTTATAGAAATCCATCAAGCTAACAGAGAAGACTTTCATCTTTTCATGAATTTCTCAATGCCAATCTTGACTTTTACTTAGATGAAAACATTCCAGAAAGTACCAGTTTTCTGGTTTATATGCAGCTTTGTTTAGCTTCAGTTCTGCACATTATGTATAATCCGTACATAAATTTCAAAGGTCTAATGGAGATTTGATCGGCAAGTTTAAGATTAGTCATTAAACCCCCCACAGTTCAAAATGCAATGATGATTTCATAAGTTTATTGAAGTACCGCCAATCATGCACAACTTCACCTCAATTTAGTTGGAACTTCTAAGTGAAGTCGAAGAAACTGAAATACAAACAATTTGTCTTCATAGTAGACAAGCAATTCAATTCGAATCTCATGCGAACATTCATAAAAGCATCTGTGTTATCAAATTTGGATTTTCGAATAAAAACTGTGTAGTTTAAAGCTTCACATGGCAATTAGTTCTAGGAGTGCAATGCCCACAATAGGGTTTACGCAGAAGGAGCATCTCGTGTGCGACAATGCCGTCAAATAGAGGAGATGTGTGCTCTAAGAAGGTTGAGAAATCTTGCTAATATGACAACCGGATGGCCACACAACATGGTCCTTTTGATGTTTTTGGAGCTGGGCTCGAAAAAATAAGCTAATTATAGAAACATACAGCATCGGCGTGGACTTGAAGCCCACCTCTGGTTTGCTGGATTGGAGTGAGCCACAGCAGATAAATAAGGTGAGAGCCTCAAAGTGATCTACAAAACGGTGTCAAAAACACAGCATTCCGATCCATCGAACTGTGAGGATGGAACGGTAGACTTCCGGATTTGTTCTGTAAAAGCTGAGAAGGGTAAACACATGAGCAGTTGGCAAAGCCTAGACCAAAACAAGAGTGCTCCAGGTAGGCCTCAGTTGTGAACATTTAGGCATACAGTCTGCACCGAGAGGTGATCCTCCCATCCCTTCAGTGGTAAACAGAGCTTGCTGCAGAAAGATTGAACATTAAAAGCCCTCATCTTCACCAGTCGGTATCCTAAAAATTGGCAATGATTTCGGGGTAGAATAGCTGTGTGACGGTTGCGAGTTTGCCCTGTCTATGACCTTGGCCATTTTCAAAGACATTAGGCAAAGCCTTTCGAAAAAACACAATTCGGTACAGATACCTGACATGGGTCAGCAACACACCAACGCATAAACGAAGAATTGAGCAATACCTTGACTGCATCGAGCGCAGAGGGACATCCAATAAAACGCAATTGTTGAGACGATTTCATTGTCGTAAGAACATAAGGCGGTGATCTCAATATCTCTTTCTATCCTTGTCTTGTAGTTTAAGAAAAAGGAGATCATGCGTTCTTACCAGCAAAGGTCAAAACAAGAAGTCCGCACTACATCCTATCCATCATCCACAATCTGCAAAAAAATCCAAGAATCACGTGATTCTGCGCCGTTTTGATTTAAATGAACTCTGCTCTTTCTCAGAAGAGCCAGATGAAGACTGCATTAACTTACAAATAACAAGTGCCCATGAGTCTGGTGCGTAAACCTGACCTAGAGGTACATAAATGAATAGGTCGCAGACCATAACCTTGGTAATATTATATGACAAACCCATAAAATTAGTTTTTTTCCAACACAAACCTCTCATTAAGCGTTGCAATTGCGAGATTAATCAATACGTTTTAGTGTTTTAATAAAAACCTAAAGAAAGCGGTGGATACCTTAAAAGCTCTATTGCAAATGCGACGAGAACTTAACGCTGGTCTTTTCCATCACCCACTCTACACACTATCTATCTCCGAATAAAGTTAGCAACATCTGAAGTACTTACAGTTGAAACAAGATGTCGGGCGCGCCATATCCTCTAACTCCTCTGGGCTGGGGAGGACGTAAATTGGATACTCGGAGCTCCGTGAACAGCAGAATGAATACAAATTGACATCCATGCCTCTGTTGAAAGGATGCACCTTCTCTGGCAGCATCCTCAGGTACGGGATACGACGTCGCCTCGTCAATTCATAGGTGGTTTGGTTGGTTATTATCAGGTATGAATGGAACAGAAATAGGGTTATCAGAAAGCACTCTGTGATGATGAGGCCGAGTATCACAAGCATCACAATCGACTCCTCCACCCACCAAGTGTGCCCAATACTCCTCCTAAAAGCCCTGATGTACCAAACTATACTCCACATAACGAGGGCCGCTTCATAGAAGATATACCACCAGAATTTTCTATGATTCTTTTGTCCTACGCATGTCCCAAGCCAAACACAATGGTGATCAAACCGTAGCACGCACTTATCGCAATCATGACAGTGTTTAGTCCTCAATGGTTGCCATAGCCCGCAGTAAGGACAGCGCCCAGTGTGGCTCGACAGCGACGATACGTTCGAGGCTCGGACTAAGTGGCGGCCATCAGATTCGCGCTTCACATTCGGCGAGTTCATTAGCAAGGGGCTCGCCTCCGAAACAGAGGGGCGCCCACCTTTTGCATTTTCTCTGGAAGCTCGAGATGATCCCCCACTGCTCTCTGAAAAGGATCCGTATATACTGCGTCCTGCTTCAGCTGCCGCTTGAGAGGAAGTCCGAGAAATTCCTCCATTTAGAGCTTGTTTAGCGCGGGCCTCGAAGCCGGCATCTTCGCTCAATACATCTGCCAAGTATCCGGGTGTAGATCCTGCAGTACAGCAGTACTGAATCACAACTATCAACAACAAGGTGAAGTAGCTTCCTGCCCACCAAGAGTAAGTTGTAGTGTATCTGTATAAGTCAGAGTCTAGGAAGAAAAGCCCGCTAACGCCAACTGCGTGAACCAAAACCCACATCAACTTCACCCCCCATCCTATGTGCCAAACGTTGGGCCTCATGCTAAAATGCCTCAAAATCCTTCTCGCAAAAACCAAGTACATTCATCAACGCCACAACTGCTGCGTGCTTCCCCGCCCACCTCCTGAATCCTCACCCCCCCCCTCCAAAAATCCTTGTCAAAAGACAGAGCTCAAATCTCAATCTCCACCCAAAATCTGCAGCATAGACTCCAATTCCCAATCTGTCAGATCCCCCACACGGGATACCCGCAATTCTAAAACCCCTGCTGTATTCATGCGAATCCAAACCAAGTGCCAGACTCGGAATCGAATGTCACGGAGAGGAATCGCAAGGAGGGGTGTAGGGTTTGCAGGCTCCCTGTCAAGGAATCTTCCTCACAAACAAGGGCAAATCCTCGAGCAACTCAACGCAGCATTTGCAAACTAGCTAAGCGGAAATCTCTGAATAAAAACACGAGACGAACCGCATATCTCACACTGCAATCGCGATAATCTAGCAACGGGACCACGAGCGCAACGATAGCTCAGAGAGCACCACACAGCGCCATTCTCACTCCCTCACACGGAGGCAGGAGGGGTCTCAAAACCGCGTGGGTGCCCATCACCGCGTCGCTTTCCACCACGGTACCCCGTTCGCCCCCAAAAGCTTTCAATCCTCAGTGCTGGTTTTGCGTATCATGTGGAACAACGTGTAGACATATGGGTTGGAATACCAAAGGATGCGTGGTTCATGCAGAGCTAACGACGATGCCGACGACCAGAGAAACGTGATTCCTCGGTGAGGCATGGATGAGAAAAGCAGTTTCCAAACCTCGCTGCTAAGAAAAAAATTTAAAAAACAACATTCATCATCCTGTGGGCACACTATTCTCGATTCCTCTACATAAATGTGGGTGGAAAGCAATGGCCCGGGTAACAGCTGAGCATTCTTTCACAGTGTCGTAGATTCAGCGCACAAACGATACTCCATTTTATAGAGCGTCCAAGGGAAGACTAGCATTTTGTGCCGCCTTTCCTAATCTATGTATGAGCTCGAAAGTCTGTTTTTTCCCGGTCAGATCCGGCTAGGGCTGATTCCCTGTGATCACCTTGTGCTTGGAACAGTCCTTATGATGAGGATAAAAAGAGAACGTAGAAGAAAAAAAACAAGCAACCAGACGAAAACAGGACTGACAACTTTTGAAACTTTTCACTTCGTTGGGTGAAATGCGAATTTTGCTATCGTGTCTGGCTTGATACACACTGACTACTTGGTCAATTGCAAACAGCTCACAGAGTGACTGATAACCACCGCTTCTGAGAGCGAATTGAACAGAAAGGACTCACTGGGATATGTTGCTGAATTCAAGCTTTGAAACTAGACTGCTAGCATGGGTGATGTGGGCCACCCATGTAAACATCACTTGCCTGTCTGCCGGTTGAGGCATCGTCGTCAATAACGTCCTTCCATAATTATATTGTTGAACTGAGTCCAACAAAGATCCAACAAAACTGAACCTACGACTTCGAAATATGCCTTGCGACAGACCAAACAGTCATGGATCTGGAGCATGTGTGACGAATGACAGAGAATCTCGCGTGGGGTACTAGACCAATGAAACAAACAACTGAAATGCAGGAAGATGAGTCTCCATCCAACTTGGTTCACACTGGTGCGAAGCCCACCGCGCAGACGGTCTGTCGATCGTAAGCAGGAGTGCTTCTTCGCGTGTATATGAACAGGGAAACCAAACCTGTGAACTGTGACATCAAAAGTTTTTCACCTGCAACTTGACTGCGGCGTTCGACCTATCAAGTGTGCAAAGGTCGCTGCTTGACGCTTGCAGGGGGCGCATGCGCAGACACAATCCACCACCATCACTTCCAATCTCAACAGCACTCGAACAGTTGTTGCATGTCGTCTTTTTGTGGTGTGTCTCAACAACTCCCCTCGATGCTTGGCTAAGGGCCACAGTACGTAGCGATTAGTGGTGCGTTGCGGAGCTTCTCTTTGAATACTACAATTCCCACTTTTCACGGTCAGAAGGAACATGCAGTTAGGTATCGACCTAATCAACGGGTTAGAACGACGTAAGATAAAAAGAATGTTCACATCGGAGCTTTTTTCGATTCCTAGGTTCCGCCGTCGGCAACATCTCCGACACTGAAGCCATACTCTCAAAGTCTGTTTTATTATTCTCATCGCTGTACACTGTTGGCACATGTATGAAGTCTATACAGTCTATTGGCTCAGCCCCTAAGGTTTTTTCCCGCAAACCTAGTGGACTCTCTAGTACAAAATCTCTGGTTCTGCTGTCTTCGTGATAGCGCACCCCCTAAGCTGATTAATGTTTGTACTTGATTTAACTACCTATACAAATTTGATACTTCACACTGGCTTCACTTACATCGAGGGAAGGCAGATCCCTTGAAGAATTAGAGGTGGAAGGAACTAATGCCATGCCGGGTAGCAAATATCCAACTGAAACCGTAGCAAAAACTTCACTAAGACACGCTACCTCAACATCCGTCGCAACTGTGCGTTGCGCAACAGGGGTTGCAAACTGTCCGGCCTGAACTTTCTTGCGAACAGGTAGCAAACATGACCAGGAGAGCCGTTGTATGTGCACGACTGATCACTCCGGATCCTATGAAGAAATTCTTGCGCGAGATTCTTCCCAAAAATGCCTGGATGCGATCCCCCCTTCGACCAGTCCACGGCAGTGACACTCCTTCCTGCTATCTTGTCCTTGAATTCAATATACATCATGGTGGGAATGTAGTGCTCGTCGACATAGCAAGTATCCTGACAAAATTGACGAAACTTCTGGTAGTATTTAACGTCGGAAACGATGTAGATGGCCAACTCCCGACTCACTTCGAACCACTGCGCTCCTTTCCTCCACTGCTCAACAGCGACCTCTGGTGCCATGCGGGGGTTGTATCTGCCCCTTCCGAAAGGCCCCGGATCGTCAAACACGCCGACAAAGCTTTGGTTGGAGTTCATGAGATAGTTGTACGTGAATGTGAAGTTCCAAATCGGAGCGCAACTCTCAGAAAGAAGGACAAAGCGCTCATTGTCGAAATCAAGGAGTGCGTTTGCTAGCAGCCGCCTCTCCGCGTCGTTCATGGAAATGTCTCCCCATTTCACCTCCTGAAGCCGCCATTCCATAGGACTGTAAGGCCATACTCTCCACAAACAACTCTAGCAATAGAAAGATAGGTGATACACAAGTATAAAGTACAACATGCAGATCGATCTTCTGCAAAACGAATGAGAGACACCCACCTGACTCGAGACATGGCGGCCGAAGAACACAGAAGACGGATACTCCTTAGGCTCATACCCCGGAAGCGAATGGACATAAATATTGTAGAAGACTTTGTGACCTTTAAAGAACAATTCCCACAGAGGAGCGAGCGGCAACGGTCCGACGGTGAGAAACATGAAGGCGACTTTGGGAGTGCGCTTAATTGGCAATCCCGCCCTCGCCGGCACCATGGACGCTCTCCACAGAAGCTCACTATCCGTCATTCCGTGATTCAATCCTAGCGTAGCGTGAGTATCAAGTAAATGCAAATGGAGCTGCTGAGGTGACGCACCAGCTCCGTCGACGCGAGACGAAAGCATTCCAGTGCTAAAAACTCCGAGTAAGTGGAGGCTGGCAACTACTCCTACCAATACTCCGGTGCCAAGAGCGAGCACGAGACCGAACACCTTGAAGAGCATCGAAGGCCATATTTCCTTGACCGGAGCCTTGCCTCCTGTACTTCCATTTTTCACCACTCCGCCACTTCCCGTCGCAAGCTCGTCACTTAGAGAGTTTATCGACGCTCTGCTCTGCATTGTTCACTCTAAAGTTTCCAACAATTCCTCGGAACTGCGGATCTTCCAACGTAATCACCAAACCAACTGAACAACCAAGCTTGCTCCTCTCCCTTCTCCTCCGTTCCGCGCAATTCTAAACCATCGCAATAGAGAAAAGGCAGATCCTCGGCCTACAGTCACATGCGTCGAATTCCCCCTCCACTACCACCCAAAGCAAAAATTCTCCACTAACGCAACACCAGCTGGAAAATCAACAACCCGAGAAAAATTCCAACACCCTCCGCAACCACTCCGAAACGTTTCCACCCAACCACGACGTCGATTTCCTCTCAACTGCCGCAAACCTACTCCCCCTAGAAAAAAAACCAACACCCAAGAGAGCAGAGATGGATTTTTCGGTCTAGTTTTTGTGCAGGCCTTAATTTATTTCTTCATTTATTGATTCTCCCTTAGCTGCCTACTTCTGCTGCTCTCCGTTTCCTGCTGATCCAGATCGCGATGGGGCATGAACATCCACGAGATTTGAACAGCACCCGACGAGAAACCCAACGCCCAAGGCACTTCAGCGTCGTGAATTGGTGGTCGAGGTGCCAGAGACGCGTTCAGCGAGCAATTACGTCGAGCAGGGACGAAATGCGGCTGCGTGGAGCGGCGGGAGGGTCCCGCCAAGTGCAGTTCCGTCGCCTCGTCCTTGAGGAAGACTCGCCTCGCCTCGCTTCGCCTCGCCTCGCTTCGCCTCGCCTCACCTTGGCGAGGCTCGTCCCACGAAGACGACTCGTCAAAAACAGAGGCAGAAATAGAATTTGCGGAGAAGAAGAAGAAGAAGAAGAAGAAGAATAGGAATAGAAATCATGAGCAACGGATGCTTCCTCTCGCCTCTGCGGCTCCCGTCTAGACACCACGTCGCGGAGAATCCTGGGCGTCGGCCCTTGCGCCACATCTGTGCCATTCGATGATGGGAGGTTCGAGGTTGGTCGCTAAAAGTGTCAAGAAGCTCGTGGAAGGAAGGGACGTGACTTCTTTTTTTGTCGTATTTAACCTTTTTGATTTTTGATTTTTGGTCCATTTTGTTCATAGTTGGTTTTGACAATGAGCATGACTCCATCCATCCATGTGTGTTTGTGTTATCTCTTGGTCTTGGTCAAGTCTTCTCTTCTTCTTTTTGCACGCACACATGTGTTTGCCCCGTATGTGTTTGTACAAATTGTTTATTAAAAAGCTCCATTTTGTACAAATTGTTCATATACACTTATATACTCTTTTTATTTTTTTATTTTTTTGTAACTTCTTTTGTTTTTTCTGACATTTTATGTGATTTTGACCAAACCATACCAAAAAAATTTAACGTGTGTATTTTTTGTTGTTGGGATATGTATATGCATGTAAATTTATAAATATGTGTAATTATTGATTAATGAATATGTTGATTGGATTTAAGTTTTTGTGAATGTGATTTCATTCCAATCATCTAATAATGTTTTTTATTTAGTACTGAAACCCATCTTTTTCTCTTATTAAATCAAATACATTAAAACAAGAATAAAATAATTATCAAATATTTGATTGTACGTTATTTCTTTCAAGTATTGAAAATAGTAACACATTTGTATTGACATTTGATATATTTGAAATTGTACGTGGATTTAAAACTTGAATGAAGGTTTGTACATATATATATATATATATATATACATAATTTAGTTGCCTAATTATTTATGAGGGTCCATACATGTGTTTATGTATTGTTTTTCTTCAATAACTTTATTAATGATAGACATAAAAAGTGCAGAATGGATCGAGGAAAAAAAAGTGATCAAATATATATATATATATATATATGCGTGTATTTATTCTTCTGGTAATTCGACATTCCATTGACACCTTTGTTTTCAGTACATTAAGGTTTCCCCAAATCTAGGGTCCAAAAGTGACTGATGTGTTGTTCCAGTAAGGGCCTTATTTTATAGAATGTATTTAAATATATTAATTTTTAAATACACAAACCCAAGCAAGAGTGGATGAAAGAGCTTTCGATCATTCATAATAAATAGTATAGAAAATGAGAAAGTGCCATGTGTGTATCTTTGCAACTGCATGCATCAACTTCCAAATAGTGATTGTCAATACATGTTCTCAATTTACATTTGTGTAGATGAACATGGTGTGTGCAAAATATCATGCTCACGTATACCTTACTATACCCTTGTATTTACATTAGAAGAACCCACTTGCCTTTCATTTAACTATGAGCCTTTCCTTTCTATTATTTTTTTCTTCATCATACCTTCTTATTGGCCACTAAGGCAACTTCTTTGTTACTGAAAAAGTAACTATTGGTAAAGTAGTTACTTTATTTGAATCAATGGCGTTGTAAAAAATCCCCACCCACATCACTCACACTCCACACACACTGCTTTTGGAGACCACTCTAAATTGTTCCTCTCAGTTTACCTCCAACGAAGTTTTGAAATCGTTCGTTCATTACTGTAACGACAACGTCGAAGTCGTCGCGTTCAGATTGTTCACCTCACGTCCGTCGTCGTCGGTGACGAGATAAATCGCTCCATGGACGTCAGTTCCTTCATTGGACGTCAGTGCGTCAGTTGAACGAAAACCTGGTCGTAAGGAAGCGGCGAGCATTCTTGGGGGCTGGCGTTGGAGGAGCCAAGTGTGTGTGGTGCTTAGGTCCCCCCCCCCCCTCTTTGCCATTTCCTCGTTTAACTCACGGAATACCGCAGGAATTGAAGGTGGTTAACTACTCATGATATTTTCCTGCTTAGAAAAGATGTCGAAAGAGAAGTGCAAATGATCGAATTTCTACTATTTAGGCTAAATAGTGCACAGGACATGAAATGTATTTTAAGGGAGTCATGATGAGCTGCAAGCAAATCATAGATGGCAAGTAAACATGCAGAGACGGCTCTCTAGCCTTGAAACTAACGTGGAGATCCGACCACTGAACGGGGAGAAAGCTGTGCAGGCTGCCTCAGACTTTATTGGCGAAGCTTTCATGTCTGGTGTATGTTTGTAGTCTGTCGGTGCATATATCGCATGAATTGATGACATATCTTGCAGTTGAATCACATGAGTGCTTAGTTGACAAAAATGTGGGGATGTTATTGACTAACAGTAATGCTATTGTTTGATTTGAACAAAGATTTGAACTAAATCTTTTAACCGTCGTTCTCTTTTCTCGTCACCTTTTCTTTCTCTGTTTTTATTATCTGTTCTCTAACCATCGGTTGGGCAGGTCGGAACAGCTGTTATCATTTTTGAGGTTCAACGAAGTTCTCGTGCTGAGTCTCGGAAAGAAGAAGCTCGTAAGCAAGAGTTGGAGGTAGTACTTGAAACATGCTCTTCCTCATGTTCTCTGTTGTTAAGTACTTTTTTTTTAGTCTAAGCTTACTCTTCTACAGAATTATTGAGCGAATCAACATTAAGACAGGCCTTGAGGCAGTTGAACTTGATACGGGATCGAATAGATGAGCTAGAGCAGATGGCAAGAGGACGAGGATCCACGAGCTGGATACCAGGAATGAGCAAGCAAGAGGAGAAAAACCACGTGCGTACATCATTCTCCCCCAGCCCTCCAGAGGCGGCTCAAAATCAAATCACGGCACGTTAAGCGTCAGTTTGAGGCCCTTGGGTATGGGCAGAAGTTGGAAAGGACTCCTGCTTGTCAACCATGTATGAAAACATGTGGTTTGTTGAATTTTAGCAACAACCAAGGTGTTTAGCGGCTGCTTAGTTATGACTGATGACTGCCTTGCACCTCATCGTTTTTCTAATAGTTGTTAGGCTTATCCTAGTGTATTCACTCCTGGAACAAATGGTTTTTTGGAGATGACAAAAAGAGTTTTGACTGAACTACTTGGTTTCAGAATTTCGCAGTAAATTTTTTTTCTAAACTCTTTTTCTTTACTCTGTGGACTTGGAAATGGTCTGGGTCATTATTAGTTTCGTTGCACCACTTAGGTTTGTAACTGGACTGATCGATAGAGTGAGCTGACGCAGAGCGGCCCACTGAGGATTCGTACACTGCACCAATGCAGTGAGATTTGCTGAAATAAGCCCCCGTAGTAATCAATTGCCATGGATTTAATGGCCTTTGCAACTAGCCGAAGTAGCATTAGAGGTGCCAAACATGTTCTAAACCATAGGATTGAATGTCCAAGTCGTCTGAATTGAAGTATGCGGTCATTTACTGAGTGTTTATGTCTTGACTCTTGCAGTAGGCCATTCGAATGGAATCCAACTTGTAGATTGAAGAACCTGGAGCATTGATTTGTAATTATTAGACTAGCATGAATGCCATAAGTTTGTTAATGTATTTATATATAATTTAAAACATATACACATTATTTTTTTTATGGTATTAACTCCATAATGAACCTTGTTTGTTGATTAGTTTCTCTTTTTAAACACAGAGAGAGAGCACGTAAATTGGCTCTTAATATGACATTGTTACTTCAGTGTTGCTATAGTTTGAGGATAGTGTTAAAATGTGATCTACGCGTACAAAGCACATTGTGTTTAGTTTGTTTTTGGTGATTCACCGTGACAAAATTTGGGTTATAAATTTGAAACCAATTGTGATGAAGTAGAATCTCGGTTGTTAATATCTTTGGCAAGTATAGTTCTCAAACTAAGATAAACCTATACTGTATTAAACATTGTAGAAAATAGAAATAAAAATAATACATTTGCCAAAGAGAAGGTGATTCAGCAATTTTATAAAAACAAAGAAAGATGTTGTAATTGTAAAATACTATTGTAGATATTTATTTTGCCGAAGAAAAGTAATTAAAATGCGATATTTAGAAACTTGAAGAGTGTCAAAAGTGTAAACTGATATTTGTAAATTTAAGAATAATTCCCAGATTATAGCACAGTAATTCATTAAAAAACAATTTTGGTTTTCACACTAAACTTTTATTGAGTTGAAGTTTTACTTGTTGCTTTTTTTGAAAAGATCAGTCACTTATATATTATTACACTATTGAATCATAAATTATGTCGGTTAAAGATTAATTGGATGAAATTAATCTTTAAATCATGTTTGGTGTGTGTGAGTGTATACACACACACACACACACATATATACATGTATATATATATATATATATATATATATATATTTACCGCGGTTCTAAATTTGGTGTTTCAATGATAAAAAGTTAAAAAAAATAAAAAATAAAATAAAAAATGGCTTGTATTTCGAGTTAAATTCAATGCTCATGAGTAGAAACACCATTGGAATCCTCCCCGTCATTGGGACAACACCACCAACTCATGTCTATCCTCAAAATTATGAAGTGTACTTGTTCCTTCAACACATATCAGCTTTATATGCTCTGCAAGCCGGACAGATTCGAAACCCGGCGTACAAAGAGGTTTCTAGTTACTTAAACCACATTCAATTTAGCCCCTCGACACTCTTTGACTGCAACCGCAACTACATAAAACCCACTACAACCCATGCACATCAGCTAGACGAGCTGAAGCAACTCCAAATCAAGATACACCCACCAAAGAGATGGTCTCACGGTAACCCCAAACAGAAGTCCTGAGGTCATTTAAATCATTGAAACAAAGCTAGGCAGGAATTTCAGTGTACATGTGCGTCGTCCATGATACTTAGACATTTCTATCTGTTTACAGCAACTTTTAACTTATAACATCTGTTGGAACCCTTGTAACACCAGATTACTCAGCAACTATGAATTGTGTCTTTACCAGTGAGAGCAAACTTCGCTGGGGTATGATTCTCCCTGTTTGATTTACGTCATACGAAAAGGGTTCGTTCGGACAGCTTGTTCATACTCCTCCAAAGACAAAATTCGACGGACGAACATAATTCTATTGGAAATCGCATACCCCACAGGAACGCCAGACGAGAACATCGCTAACCGTAAAATTCAACGAAGCTGGACTGGACAACAATGGGATGATAGTCGCTTGAGAAAAATGCACATCCTCGAAAAGAGATAAACACACCAAGTAACCCTAAATGGCTGCCTTCAAGCTATGGACCCACAGATGCAAAAGAATCGAAAAGGGGACGAGACGAATTGGGAGGAGGGAGAGAAGCAGCACGACCCGCAGCGCGGAGCGCGAAAGCTGAGAAGCGGACTATCCATGGACTTCGCCTTCGCCGTTGTCGGCGAAAAAAGGCGGGCTTCGCGGACCAGCCCACCCTAACGCATACCGACACCGACGTTCCCACCCAACTTGTACCCTGTTCCATCCGCCTTTCACGCGTTCCCTTCTTTGTTCTCTTCCGCGCGTTCTCATGTAGTGGGTGGCCGGCCAGTGGTATATGCCAACTCATCGAGGTGACGTCAACATCGGATAACTCTCCGTGGTACGAGGGTATGATCAATCACATGACGACACGTATGATTTCGGCTGGGTTTGAGTTTTCGATGACTCCACATGGTGCTGACTAGTTTTGAATTTTGTAATTATTTTTTTATTTCATGAAAATGCATTTATAATATGTAAAATGCTGAACGCTGAAATAAGAAATCGTTGCTGGTTTCTACTGTAAAACTGCAAATGTCTACATTATTAGGTCAAGCTTGCATATGGAGTTATAAGAATAATTATATGCTTAACATTTATATTAAAATTAATGTTTAACGATTAGCCATTACATCAAAGACTATATTAAACTATTAATGATTTAATTTTAATTCATTACATATGGGCATTGGTGTGCTGCATGTTAATGCTAGAAAGGAATTTTTTGTGCATTGTAAGGCAATTTGTATGACTTCAATTACTCCCTACCTCTCATCAAATGTTTTAACAAAATTGATTTGAATTCCATGCATTACAAGAAATATCTACATGCATGCAATACATACCAATGCATTGTGACCTCAATCACTCTATTTCTCTCATTGAAATATCAATGTAGTTTATCTAATGTCACACATTACAACACCATCAACTCATGTATATACATAAATTCATTGGTCTTTGTAAGATTTCATTTCTCAATGTCAAATGTACAACCTTTTGTTAATGGTTAGTAATCTAGTTTTGATGACATCCTGGCAACAAATTGCTAATGCTTTTGGATATTTTTGCAATGTATGTCTGTACTGCAATGGTATGCAATAAGTTTCAGAAAAAATCAGTTAGATAAATATCAGTATAATTACTTTATAAAAAATTTGGGATAAAAGTTCATAGTTATGGTCAATCTTAAACTGTCAAAGTGTACATTGAGATAGTTCACACTAAGACATTGTGTATCAACTCTTTACTAAAAAAGATAAATTGTAGCAGTTAAGATTCAACATATTGATACTATTTTATAATGTGATGTGTGCCAATATTGTGCTCATTTTTATATATTTATCTAGGATATTAAGCTGACATTTTTAAAAAATTGATCTAAAATCAATTATGCAGTTTAAATAAACGAAATTCTTGAAAGAATCAATGTATAATAATTAAATTCATAATTCTGAAAGTTGTCACTTGATTACAAACAATTGCCATGTTAAATTACACATACACTCTACAATTTTACACCTCACGTGTATATAAATAAATAAATAAATAAATAAATATTTAGTTTCACTTTGAATAAATATTTATTTAGACTAAGTTTGAATAAATTTACTTTGTATTAAATAAAGTTTGAATAAACTTTTAAACTTATAAATTTATCTAAATAAATAAATCTTGTATTACTTAGTTTTAGAAACTCTATACTTTGCAACACATCGGTTACAATTTTCTTTAGGAGACCTAATTATACACCTTCCATAACATATTACATTGTATATCGAACATCTATCCAACCATCAACGTCCACACCCAACCATCCACGCACACATTCGTCCCCTAAACCATCCACGCACACATTCGTCCCCTAAACCATCCACGCACACATTCGTCCCCTAAACCATCCACGCACACATTCGTCCCCTAAACCATCCACGCACACATTCGTCCCCTAAACCATCCACGCACACATTCGTCCCCTAAACCATCCACGCACACATTCGTCCCCTAAACCATCCACGCACACATTCGTCCCCTAAACCATCCACGCACACATTCGTCCCCTAAACCATCCACGCACACATTCGTCCCCTAAACCATCCACGCACACATTCGTCCCCTAAACCATCCACGCACACATTCGTCCCCTAAACCATCCACGCACACATTCGTCCCCTAAACCATCCACGCACACATTCGTCCCCTAAACCATCCACGCACACATTCGTCCCCTAAACCATCCACGCACACATTCGTCCCCTAAACCATCCATCCGCTCATCCATTTATGCACCCATTTATGCACCCATTTATGCATCAGTTCATATATTCATTCATCCACGTTTGATACACTATTTTTCGTTTTCCGAGTTAGAAGCCAAAAGCAAAGCACTTCAATGGCAGAAAGTAACTGTACAGAAACTCTCCCATTCACACAATAGAAGTTTGAGCCCGTTTTTACGCGAAGGGGGGGGGGGGGATGACAGGAACGGCGCGGCGCTCGGTTGCAAAGCGCGGTCGAGAGCAGGAGGGGAAGCGCGCGGGTCAGGGCGGAAGAGGAGAAGGAAGAAGGGCGAGCAAGGGGGGGGGGGGGTGTGCTGTGCTTTGGGACTCTCTCGCTCGCTGTGTTTGCTGTGGGACATCGCATCCTTCATCTTTACTTTGCGCCTGCTGCTGCTTACTCTCCTTTCTCGCGATAGTTTGTTTGTTTGTTTGTTGTTCAGTCCCTGCAGACGCACTTTACGCAGCCGTGGCGGGACACAACGCCCTCAGGTAGGAGTCACGGCGGAAGAAGGTGGCTTCCCGTAAGGGAAAGCTCGTGAGGTTTAGAACAGATAGCGTCGCACAGGGGCCGCGATGGCTACTTCTAGGGCCGGGCCCGCTCCCACAGCTCACAAGGCTGCGTCATCGTCCAACGTCTCCCGGCAGCAGCAGCAGCAGCATCACCAGCAGCAGCAGCATAACAGCAACAACACCAGCAGCGGTAGTGGCGGCAACAACAACAACAGCGTGAGCATCAACAACAGCAGCAGCAGCATCAACAACAATACCAACAACAAGTACGGCGTCGTCTGTCCAATTTGATTGATCATAGGTCGTATCGGCGTTTCGTTGATGGTTTAGGGTTGGAGCTGGCGGGAGTCAAATGAATTGAGGTGTGGGTTCGGGCTTGACCTCCTAGGCGTGCTATTTGCATGCTCGCGCCACGGTATTCTTGCTCGTTAGGTTAATAATCGGGCAATTTAAAGATGGGGTCTGATAGCTAATCTTGTTCGTGCGCATGGTCATGTACCTCCCGATTTAGTTTTTTAATAATCTTTTTGGGTCCTGTTTGGTAGGGTCTTCTCTGGGGGTTGAGTGTACTCTTTGTTGCACAGCCTTAGGGTTAATCTGGTGTCGCAAGCATGCTACGTATTTGTGTTAGACTTTTCTGCTTGATGGGTGATTTGAGGTTGGTTTAGCATTAAAACCTCAAAATTAGCCGGCGGGACAATTTTCACATTTTTTAATCCCCACACTGCAGTTCTTTTACTGATCCTCTAGTGACGCGGTCCTTTCTGATAGAAGTTGAAATTTCGTGCGACGTGCTTGAAATTGTAGTGGGCGCATGTAAGTGAACTTTTTGAAACACTAAATTCCGTTGTTACGTCTAGCAGTCGGTAGCTTTGTTGGGTCTTCCGCACTTTTTGATGTTATATAGATTTGCTCCTGCATTTTGTCAAGTCGCTTTCTGTCATTTCATTTCAGGCTGTGGAGACATGTGCTATTTTCGTCTATTTACTTTGTTGTGGCAATTGAGGTGGCAGTCGAATCGAATGTCAACATCTTGTCATGTGTTTGTTACTGATTCTTAACTGCACGTCACTTGCGATATGACCTGCGAGTGCACCAATAAGGAATTCTAGGTTAAAATATTTGTCTTAGTCTTGTCTCTTGCGTAGACCTGATATCTTTTTTCTGAGGCCACGTGCTGTTTATTCCTGCTGCGAAATCCTCATACGTCCGTATCGCATGACTTGGCATCCTGAAACTGCTGCTGAAGTCAACTTCTTAACGCAGTAATGAAATCTCGTCCGACACGTAGTGTCCAGATTTTAGTTGTTTTTATTTTTATTTTTATTTTTATTTATTTTTATTGAATGACTTCGAATTTTAGAATCTCTTGCGGAGGCTTAGGGTTTTTTCGTTCTTCTCAGTAAGCACACACTGGCACACATTGTGTGCACATTATGTTTTTTCTTAAAACTTAATATGAATACTTCTGCGTTAACATATTATGTGGTAATCAATGGTAATGTTTATAGAGATATTGACTTCCTGGAGTTGGCTGCGTGCGATCTTTCTAGCAGCTATTTTTTGCGACTTGTACTTCACTACAGGCTCTGTTAGTTCTTTTGGGTACCAACTGTTCTTGTTTTTAAAACGATGCCTGAATTGGGTCACTTGGACTGATGTCTTCCAGTTCGCAAGATTGGAAAGCACAACTCAAGCTACCACCTCCAGATGCTCGATACAAGACTGAGGTGAGAACAAGATGGATTTCCTTTGTTCTGTAATGCCGTTGTATACATTCTGAACGTGTTGATGGGTTCATGTTTGTCCTTATGTCATGAGCCGAACCTTTACCACCAGGTAGTTGTATTTGTTGCTTTCAATCTTCTCCTTGAATTCCCTTCTTTGTTCTTGCAGGATGTAACTGCCACGAAGGGCAATGAATTCGAAGACTACTTCCTCAAGCGAGAGCTCTTGATGGGTATCTATGAGAAAGGGTTTGAGCGACCTTCTCCTATTCAAGAAGAAAGCATTCCCATTGCATTGACAGGGAGTGACATTCTTGCTCGCGCAAAGAATGGTACAGGGAAAACTGCAGCCTTTTGTATTCCTGCTATTGAGAAAATTGACCAGAATAAGAATGCTGTTCAAGGTGACGTACTCTTCTGATACTCGCATCTTCTTCGCAATGAGTTGCCCTGTCCAGTTTAACGCTGAGAGTTTTGTTTCATGAGACAGCTCTATTTCTATACCAGCATTTAGTTTTTAGTGGAATCTCGGTTGAGCACTTGTTAGATGCGTTCTTCGATTTTAAAACATTCTTCTTTCAGTTTTTGCTGCACTAGGTTTAAGAACGGATATTTGTCACTAGAAACCAGCACTTCATGCTTGTCTTTCATAACAGTCTGGTTTTGCTACAGTTTTGCTTTTAGTACCTACAAGGGAACTAGCGTTGCAAACCTCTCAAGTATGCAAAGAGTTGGCTAAACATTTGAACATACAAATTATGGTAACCACTGGAGGCACCAGCCTTCGTGATGACATTATGCGCCTGTATCAGCCAGTACACCTGCTGGTAGGCACACCTGGTCGTGTCCTAGATCTTGCCAACAAAGGAGTATGCAATCTCAAAGAATGTACAATGTTGGTGATGGACGAAGTAAGTTGAATTCCTTTTCTTTTTAGGTACCATTACATTCGCATTTCCATTTAACTTTTTACGCCAGCTTTTATTGGTGATTTGGTTTTTTAGACAAGTTGGTTTTTCAGTGCATTTCGATATGGACTTGAGAAGGATATGTGGATTACAACGAGAAACCCCCAAGGGTCTATTTGGCCGCATAGTTTAGGTCATCTGGCCTTCTCTGGTGTTATTGCACCCATCCGTACATCGTCTACATGTGCTTCTCTACTGACCTTTTAAATGTTATAGTAAATTAGCTTGCAACATGTATTACATCGAAATCGTAGATGGAGCTTATGTAAATCATGGTTATTAAATATGTGCTCACGATTCTTATCATTCGTGTATTATTTCTGTGTAGGCTGATAAACTTCTATCGCCAGAGTTCCAGCCTCTTGTTGAGCAGTTGATCGGTTTCCTGCCTGAGAACCGCCAAATTCTGTTGTATTCTGCTACGTTTCCAGTTACAGTGAAGTCCTTCAAAGATAGATTCTTGCGGAAGCCGTACGTTATCAATCTTATGGATGAACTCACTTTGAAGGGTATTACGCAGTACTATGCATTTGTGGAAGAGAGGCAGAAAGTTCACTGTTTGAACACATTGTTTTCCAAGGTAATATGTGGGTTTTTGATGAACAAACTTTGTCACCCTGATTATTCTTCGTTGATTTCAAGTCCTGATTAAATTCAGTTATTCAGTTTGGATAAGATTGGGAAGTATAATCATTTAGCGATTTTTGATGTCTTGCAGCTGCAAATCAACCAATCTATCATATTCTGCAATTCAGTGAACCGAGTGGAATTGCTTGCCAAGAAGATCACTGAACTTGGATATTCTTGTTTCTACATCCATGCTAAGATGTTACAGTCTCATCGTAACAGAGTGTTTCACGATTTTAGGAACGGAGCCTGCCGAAATCTCGTCTCTTCAGGTAGGGATGCTACCCTACCTTCATTTGTATGTGATCAGCAGTCCTAACTATGTATCCTAAGATCAGGAAAATCCGATCTTGAGTTGACCTTCACCTAGATTGTCTTGGTGTTCTTCAAGAATACTCGTGAGATATCCCTTACATGTTTAACTTAGTACACTTCCACAGTTTGATAAGTAGAGGTGACATGTTTCTTGTATTTTCAAATGTATATTGCAGTCTTGCTGAATCCAAACGTTTGGATTGCGTCTTGACTAGATCTGTTCACAAGAGGAATTGACATTCAGGCCGTAAACGTTGTCATCAATTTTGACTTCCCAAAGAATTCTGAGACGTATCTTCACAGAGTAAGTCCCTATTCTCTTATTTCTTGTGCGGCTGCTTTAAGCAATGAACTTCATTTGGAATTCTTGTCACTGTGCACTAACATCGAACAATTTATTTGCGACTGATACAGCCTGCAATTTTGTTTCCAAGTTACTACTGTGTTTTTAGGTTTCGTGCTGTAACACCATCTTTGAGCTCGGAATGAACCGTTCGATTCTGTTATTACAGGTTGGTCGTTCGGGGAGGTTTGGTCATCTGGGGTTGGCGGTGAACCTTATCACCTACGAAGACAGGTTTAACTTGTAAGTGGCTCTTTACTCGTATGATATATATGGATTCTTTTTTGCTTCTCCACACACACACACCCCCCCCCCCCTCTATCAAGTGTTCATGGAAATGATGAGGCATTTGTTTATTTTTTTCTTCCTTCTTAACTTAATACTAGCTGTTAATTGTAGATACTTTTTTAGTCCATTTTAGCAGCTACAAATTAGCCGTTCGATTTCTATACATTGCGTGGAAAGACAGAGGCAATTATTTGAACTGCAAGATATACACGTGCTGATTGAGATTTCATCTGGATCAGGTATCGTATTGAACAAGAGCTTGGCACAGAGATCAAACCAATCCCACCCCAAATCGACCGCGGCATTTATTGTCGTTAACTACATTCAATGGATCAAAAATCTCTGAGATAAATGTTCGTATGGTTCATCTCAACGGTCCGAGAATGTGTCTTCATTCCATTCAAGGTCCACCACAAGTGGTAGCAGAATGTCTTAACGTGCTTAAAATGAGTTTGAAGGGGCTGGCTTACGCAACTTTTAATACGGTGTCAGGATCTCCCTGCGAGATTCCTGGGCAATATTTAACCAGAACGAGCATTCTAATCTGAGGATGAGATGGGTGGAATTGTGTCCGCAGCGCTGTTCATATCTTTAGATTGCTTGGTTGTGACATTTTCCGCAGCGCCATCTCACCGTAGTTTGTAAAGCTCAAGAGTTGGGGTGCCATCATTTGAGTGGTCATGGTTTGTTCTGAAGTCTGTCCGGTTTGATCGTAAATCCTCTCCTGCATTCAGCTGGAACGTGGGTTTACGTATTTTTGTATGGATCATAGAACTCATTTCATGGTTGAATTTGTAGGTTTTAGATGACTTTCGGGATCTCAGTTTATTCCTGTCTTGGAAATTCTGTATTCTTTGACTTTATATAAGTTTAAGAACGCAGAGTCGAATTACTATGTGTCGGCACACGGAATTTCGACGCTTCTCAGATTTTAGTCAGGGTTTCCCAATTTCGAGTCGTTTGAATGGTCCTGTTTTCAACATAGTGCAGGTCGATCTGAAAGTTGAAACATTGCGTTTCAACACAGTGCCTTGTAGATAATTACTTGCGAACTTCAGAAGATACCTTAGTACACTCGGATATTCAGTGCCTTGTAATTCTGCTGGTGTTATCTTTGAGAACTTAACAATGAAGCATGTGGTTTGGTCCAAATTATGGGCCATGTCACTCTAGTTTGTAGAACCAGAGTTATGGGTCAGATCACTAGTTTGTAGGACAGAGCTATGGGCTCTTTCACTTAGTGCAGGAGTATGCTGATGCTAAAAAGTCAACAAAAGAGAAGGAGACGTGTAGCTCACATTTGACCCTCAGCAATGCTGTTTCATGCTTCAGGAAATTGTCACATAATAATGTTATGAAATTATTAATGTCAAATTGTTCATGAATGATAGTCTTGTAACTTGCCTATAATACATTGTACTTGTAAACATGAGCTGCTTTTACGGTCAGCATCGGCAATTCATGGTTGAGGTTCTTAGCATTGCTCGATAGCATAGTAGTTCGCAAGTAATTATCAACAATCCTATATATCCGGTCTCATCAGTTCGTTTAGTTTTCTTACACATTCACAAAATTGTGAGTAAACGACTGATACGTGACATGCAATTTGAATTAGAATTCAAATTCTTGCTGAAGCCACTACCAAAGTGTTAAGCGAATTGTGCAGACGGATATCCTAGCAGATGACCACTGGTAGGATACAACTCGAGAATATCGATATTTATTCCCAGACAGAGAAGCAAATGCACGAGAATATCAGAATCAGACATTCATACTCGGGAATTTCACTGTTACACTGCAGCACTTATTCTCGTAGCTGTGAAAATCGCAGTTTGGGATTTGCCCATTAAATGCTCTGACGCAACAGTGTTCCAATTAATTAAGTTCGTAGCAATAGGAAAATTGCTATATTGCTGTCATTTCAAGGGTCCGATCCCATGTCCGGAATCGAGAGCCGGAAGGAACGGGCTCCTGAAATTAATTCAGCACCACTGTCTCAAGGAAACGGAAGAACAAACTTAGGCGGGTCAAGTTTTTCAAGAAAAATCACGAGCTTCGATGCATTCTAGCAACGTGTTGCTTGACAAGTCTCTTATTGATCTCAAAAATGAAGCACATGCCTCCAACCTGCCAAAGTCAACTTTGTTAGTCCGCCAGCTAAGAGTACCATATCACCACTAGATCTGACACTCATAATATGAATAAACTTCACCTGCATTGCCCCACTAAATATGACCATGGTTCGCATGCAAGAGTATCACCTCTATCAAGCAGTTTGAGCCCAGCATAGCTCGTTGGTCACTATCCACAGGGATATTGTTTACAGTCAAAGTCCTTCGCCCGAGATTTCGCAGGTAGAAGAAACCATCCTCCTTGAGCTTTAGTGATGCCTAGAACACAGAGGTACATTAACAATACAATGTAAGCAGAATGCAATTGTCCTAAAACAAATGATTTTAGTGAAAGATGCCAGTTCCCATCTTGTACCTGCTGCCGAGACACTTTGTTTGCACGCCCTTCTTTGCCCAAGTCTATGTCCACAATATTGTCTTGAGTCATCCTTCCCATTAACACCTGCACTAATCAATATCATGACCAGCGCATGTTAAGACAAAGTTAATGCGCAAGACACGAGTGCTACAAGGTGTGGTATACGATGTCGGCAATCCATTTCACTGTAATGCAACCAGCACTAAAACGCATGGCACAAAAATTCAAGGTTATAAGTACGAACCTCAGGTTTGGTCATATAGTAGAGCAGGTGTCTGCCGTACAAAATAGCTAGTGCTTTTCGTTTAGTAAGAGACCGTTGCATTGCAGATGAGAAATTTTGTTCCAATCGGACAAGCATTCTCCTTTGTCGCCTATACATACGCCTTGACTCTGCCATAAACGAGGATAAATTCAGGTTCATGGAAAGGACAATATGCTTCAACTGGCGAATAGACTGTTCCGAAGGAAGTTCATAAATCCGGAACACAAGTATAAGTACAGATGTACAAGTGGAGATGCGGCATACCTTCCAATGCAGAAAATTCGTCGTCTACTCCCGGGTCAAGATCCATATTCATTATCTGCGTGGGAAGAATGGATAAGCATCACGTTTTTTATTATATACCATGTACCACATAAAAGATAGAAACAGTTTACGAAGTTTTCAAGACGTACGGGATTACACTTTTTCTGCACGTCACTATACCCAGATCATACCATAACAGTACTACACACGTTTTCCTACGAGAACGATGCATGGCTCTGCAAAGAACTGTTGAACTCATTTTTTTCATGAGATGTGATAAGTTTCATAATTTGAAAGCTTCAATCACTTAGTCGATGGACACAAATACAGAGTGACGAATTCGGACATTCATTAGAAACCCATGTTCCTCTAAACCAGCAAATAGTATAGAGAACCACGACACAAGAGCCCTAGGGCCCCAAAAGAGAAACGTCAAGAGATTTTGGACTTAAATTATCAAATTCCAGGGAGAAAATGAATTGTGGTCATATACCATAGTTTCAACATCTGAAAAGCGAGTATATGCTTCACTTTCGAGCTCTTCCTCAGCAATTTCAAGTGCGCTTGCTTCCTCGTCACTTTTCAAAACGCCAGTTTCCGGATCTACTCGTGCCAGAACTTCTTGTCCTGTGAATGGATCAATATCTCCATGGTAAAACTCTCCATTTCCTTCAGCCCGAATTGGTTGCCCTTCGGCATGCTGGCCTGTAGAGGATAATGTTCCTGCAGTGTCTGATGATGCTCTCTGAATATCGGCATCGTGTAATTGTAAAGCTGGGAACTGTATTAATTGGTTTTCACCATCAACATCTGACAAGGAAGGGCATTCATCCTTCATGGGTCGTGTGAAATAAGCATTTGGGTTTAAGTTTCCAGCCATCACATTTTGGCCACAAGACTGCGAAAAAGTACGCTCTTGCTTGCCAGCGCCCATCTCCAGGTCCCAAACATTATCATCTTCGTATCTTGAAGCGTGTACCTACGCATGAATAAATGCAAGTTTTTCAATCAACCAAAACCTTTTAATGCTGTAAAAGACTGACGCGGGGATTATTGTACAAATTATAACGGAACTAGAAGAACCAGCTGATATTTCCAGCAGATATAAAGTGTCATTAAATTTGTGGATGTTAAGAGTCCTTCAAATGCACAAAGAAATTACACAACCAGATGACTAGGCACAACAAAAATGCTTGGGACCATGAATAAAAACACACAAAAAGTACGATGTATCCAATTCTAAACCTCTGCATAGAATCTAACTAATACAACTTAAAACAATGAAGTTTCCACCTTGTGAAGAATATTATCCCGCTCTAAGGATATATTAATAGCCTTACCCGATTCTTTAGTGTATCCGAAGACTCCCATGCTTCGTAGACATGAAATTCTGAAGGAGAACTAGGTACCTCGGCTTCATCGTCCAGACTGGTGCAGTCTAGAAGGTAGCCATCTCTTAGTTCTCCATCTGAGTTGTAAATAAAACTAGTTTGCGGTGGAGGAAGAACATCATCGAGATTGGGGATTTCTGTGTCCTCTGTACTCAGTGTACAAACAATAGGACCGAAAATAGGATCGATCATCGTATCATTGATAGGTCTAGCTTGCGCATAATCAGTGGACATTGACAGGTCATGATGAAGAATGGCCTCCCCGCTGTCTGATGCATACAATAGCTCGTCGCCAGCGTGAACTTCCAACCCTTCGTTATCGTGATATTCCCCTGAAAAGAGACCGCATTAATTATGGTATGTACATGATATTCTGAAGTCACAGGCTATAACAAGTTCTCAAGACCTCCTCAGACATATACAAGTTATTGAGCAAGTTTGCCGCAGCCCTCACACCCTGCATCCATGGCAGGCTATGGTGAAGAAGTGCCTTACGTTACTCTCATCGCAATAGACCAGAAAAATTGAACCATGACCAAGCACCTTCTTGTTACGTGCTGGACACTGCTGGACACTGCTTGCAAGATCTTCTCTCACCGTCATATTCGCCTTCAATGTAAGGAAAATGTTGTTCGCTATCAAAATCTTGATCACTTTCAGAATCTTGCTCTTGGTTCTGGTAGCTCTCAAGATACTGTACTTGATCTTGTTCGATATCGTTAATCGAGTCTCCATGCTTCCAGCGTAAATGTGAGCCGCTGAAGTCGTGTGCTGTTTCATCCCTTGGATTGGATGCCTCCTGATGACTCTCCTGAATGGCAAGGTGAGGTTGCGATATTTCCACCCCCGGTATGCAGCCAACTTCTACAGTTTCCGCTGCCTGCTCAACTTTCACACTTGACGCATCAACTAACTGCTTGGTAGGTACAACAGAAGCATCTATACCCAAGTTCATTGTGCAGAACAGATCCTCAGTTTTGGGTTTAGTAAGATTCCCTCCAACTTCAGCATGTACTGTGTCAGAAAGATTGCAACTCATCAAAACGTTTGGTGAACTATCAGAAATCTCCTTTGTCACTGTTGAGGCTGTAGTTGCTTGTATTGGAGTCTGACATCCCTGTAAAACACCCCAATAAGTCGACGTCAGCTATAGTAAAGACGATCAGACAGAAAACTCAAACCAACTCATACAAACACCAGGGACATGTCATGTGTTTTAGGTTTTCATGCAATAAAATTCGACATTTAAGAATAACCTTGACAATCTGAATGATTTCTCCAACAATGTTTGATAATTACCAATATTTTCTTCTCAGAAGTAAACATTAAATAACAATCCTACTTCAAAGCAAACCCAACGGCGATTGATGACCAATATACTGTGACCACAAAACACCAAATTCAATCCTCACCAATTCGGTCTGCTACACTTCTAAATTCCGAAATTTTGGTCATGCATTAAAGATAGCCCATGAATACAAAGGATGTGTGCGGCGCAGCAAAAAATATTTACCAATATTCTGAAATCGGAAGTAAGATAATCTTCGCAAACAACAGGTCTACCTATCATATAGCTGATAGGTCAGATGTTAACAAGAACAATGGTGAGATGCTTACAAGGAGGCTATCCGTGTCCATCGCATTCCACTCAAGGTTTTCAACTGGATGGACTGCTTCTTTACAGCCATCATTCGCTGAAGCGCTTTGGCATTCACCTTCTTTAACTTGTATACCTACAATTTTCTTCGCTTGTATACCTGCACCTTCCTTCGCTTGTATACCTACACCTTCCTTCGCTTGTATACCTACACCTTCCTTCGCTTGTATACCTACACCTTCCTTCGCTTGTATACCTACACCTTCCTTCTCTTGTATACCTACACCTTCCTTCTCTTGTATACCTACACCTTCCTTCGCTTGTATACCTACATCTTCCTTCTCTTGAACACCTAAACCTTCCTTCTCTTGTATACCTACAACTTCCTTCACTTGTATACTTTCACCTTCCTTCGATTCTATACCTTTACCTTCCTTCGCTTCTGTACCTTCACCTTCCTTAACTTGTTTCTCTATGTCCGATTGTACTGGCGGTATTTTCAGAACTACCTCTTTAACTGAGACATGTGCCCAAGAATTCAACTCGTTGTTGCCACCAGGCACAATTGGAATTTGAGACTGCAACTGGTCGGCCGTTACGTCTTCACGCTTAGGTGCTGTGGTGATGGATCCTACTATGGGCTCTTGACACTTAACTTCTTGTCTTCTCTTTGGATCCTCCAAATTTTCTAAACTTTGATTTCCTGGCAAAGCTCCAATAACAGCTCCCACTCCACCTGCATGATACTGTGCCGAGCTCAAAATCTATACTGTAATAAGCGTTCGAAGAACTTCCCCGAAATGTTACCGTTCAACAACAACAAAAAAATATTGTTTACAATTCACTGGATAGCAGTGGCATATTCCATAAAGTACACTCAAAATGACATAAGGCTTCGACAGACTGACCTGCTGCAAGAAGACTGACCATCTGAGTGAACGTGCAGTCGAAGTCTGTTGAGCCTCCCTTGGGAGATAACAGCCCTTCTAACAGCCCGGGGTCAACATTACCAAGGGTCATAGTGCTCAAAGGAGCAACAACTGACTTTTCTCTACCATCTTCATGCTTCTCTCTGACTTCTCGAAATGTCCCCTCGTCAGGTGTTTGTGATTCTGTAGCCGAAACCAATTTCCCTTCAACCAGTGGTCGCTTTCTCTTGTAATACAAAAAGCGAATGCTATTTGCCTTTCGATTCTGTTCTAAGTGTTTGGCATGGCGGTCGTGAGGGGCGCCGACTTTAGGAGGGAGATCAGAGAGAGCTGCTTCAGCTTCGACCATACGCGCAGAAGCTTCAGCAGATAATTCAGGATCATACAACAGAGCTCTCCATCTCTCCCGCAGCTCCCGCACAGTGAACCTGTGGGAGAAACGCATAGCACCCTTTGCAAGCGCCTCCACAGCTGCCCCAGCCTTTACGAAAAAAACCTTAGCAACAGTGAATTCTGAACACTGAAGATGAACGTCAACTTCACTTTACTAAACAAACCAAGTACACCTACTTTTGCAAGTAATCGTTGAGTTCCAAGAAGCATATTACACCAACCTCGGCTCTAAAAACCCAACAAAGACGACCAACTAGAATCTGTTCTCAAAAGACGCATAGCATTATACAGCCAAGGAGATATACTTTATTATTCGTGCAATGAATTCCTATAAGTTAAAGCATTAAACATCTTACAATAAAACATGACAAAACAAAGATGACAGATACGCAATCAGATATTTTCCTGCACCCACCTCCATAGCGTTCTCCAATAGTAGATCATCCTCCACGGTCCACAAACTAAAATCTGGTCTCGGACCAGCTTCTGCAACCACACCTCCTGTCACCACATTGGGTGCTACCTTCGCTGCCACCTTGGCTGCTGTTGCAATCCTGTTTCCTCCCCCTAAATTCAGCACGACTTCAATGTTTAAAAGCATGTCTCCGGTAGGTTAGAATTTTAGACCCAAACTATACAAGGCTGAGGAGTGAACTTCAAGAAGGCAAATGTTGAGACATGCCTCCATCGTATAAGGACAACACGGAATGAATTAAAGACAATCTAAACAATGGGGATTCAAAATCAGTTCACCAAATGCTTCAACAAGTAGTACAGAGCTTACGAGTGAAAGCATCAAACAAAAAGCTAAAATAAGACTCGGTAGTAGCTGCCAGACCCAGGGCTTGATTGACGTAAGGGACTGGATCTCTGGCTAGAATGATTCAAGCAAAATAACCAGAGGATAGAGCAAAAGGCCATGTGAAGTCAAACCTTTCACAGGTGTTATCAAATAAGTTTTTTCATCTGTAGCAGTTCCAGTACCAGCAAGCTTCACGCGCTTCAACGACCTTGCCCTACTTGCACCTCGTTTGTTGCCTTGCCCCGCATCTTCAAAGCCTGAACCTGCTGGAATAAAATCCTGCAACAACGCATAAGCTTTGATTACATCACAGCTCTGTAATGTGTGATTATGGAATAGCTGCCCAACAGAAAAGGCCCGATAATCGGGAGCAACGGGAGGGGAATTTCGACCACAAGCGGATGAACAAGCATACCATACCATACTTGCCCTCTGTACCCCAAAGTTGCCTATGTGCTGCAATAATCATCTCACAAAATGAAAAATCAGGAGCAATCGATTCCTACAGAAATCCAGCTAGCCCCACCGCAAATAATGATGTGAATTTGAAGTAACAGACAGTAAATAAAAGTAAGACCTAATACATGTAGAAGCAGAGCAGAAATTTTGTTTGTTATTCTTTTCAGGACAATAGTTACACGTACATCTCACACCTATTTCTCGCAATCTGTAATCCAAATGAGTTCAACTTGTCACCAAAATGCCACAAATTTCAGACTCGTAGAATCTAGTGATCAAGCGGCACCTTGCCAGTAGTAGGCTCACTCGATTGGCTCACTTCTGTTATGTCAGCAACCGCAGCAGGACCAGCAGCAGCACGGTCCGCGTAATCGAAGTCTGGTAAGGGCACACGCTTCATAGCTTCGTATACAACAGCCATATCCACTGGCGCGTCATCGTCCTCACTATCAAAGAAACCATCGCCTACTTCCGCATCGTGTTCCGCCATCTCCATGTCCTCTCCCTTATCGTCCCCTTAATAAAATCCTGTCACCATCATCAGATTCGTCTGTACCCAACAACCACAAGTCGGTCATAATCTGCACCACTGCTCTCCAACGAATGCCCCGTCATGCACCAATTGCAACCGGAAATATTTTTCCGCTCCCCGTGGCTGGCATCTTCTATCAACAAACTTCCACACACAAATGAGAAAGCTCCAAACGAAAAACCACTTGTCAACCAAAAAGAAAAAAAGGTCATAAAAAGAAAAATGCGGAAATCCTAAACAAAAAACACAGAAAGGTGAACACCTACTACAAGCCGCTCATGCTGTATGCGTCTTCTGCGTGGATTCCGACGTCGCGTGTCTGAATTCGAGGTCTGCAGGTAGAAATCTCGATGTTAACGAATAACGCAGTTGGAGGAGGGGAGGGAAGGGGGGGTGGGGCTCGGCGGCGTCTTTCCCTTGCGCCGTCTCAAATGGAGAAAACATTGTAGTGTGAATGCGTCGTAAAATTATAGGTTCGGACGTTGTGAAAGGCTATGGAGATTGTAGACAGACCTAGGTGGGAGCCGCCACCGACCCAGAACCGGACCACACCACAGTGAACTTCCACTACCCCCTTCCGCTTCCATGCCTAACTCACAGTCCAGCAAGCATCATTCATTATTCACATAGAAATAGAAGTATGAGAACCCCCACCCACCCCACTCACCCCCTCCTCACTCTTTAGGGCCCGGGCTGCACTCTCTGGCACACTCCTACTGTATCTGGATGCATACGGCGCCGTTCGACGCGGTGGCCCGTGTATCAACCTCACCATGCCCCGCGATCCGGATCTCATATCCATCCAAGGCAAAGTCTCTATTCGCCCGGTTATGAACGAGTTATTTACGGATATCGACGAGGTATTTTCAACTGTTTCAGTCCATTGCACCCCTTTTCTGTTTCGTTCCAATGTGTGTACCCAACATATCTTACTGTAGTTTATTAAAGGAAAAAACCAACAAACAAACAAACAAACAGAAAAACTCTACCCATTTTTCTTTCTTTCTTCTTAATTTTGTTTTCTTCTTGCATTCGTCTTTCATATTTTAAAACTTAATTGTTACATTATTCAATTTGTTTGATTCATTGTGTGTACTCAACAGCAATTTATGTTTTTTTTTTTAACAAAAAAAAATAAAAATATCAAAACATTATATAACTTATAAATGGTAGTTTATTCTGATTTACTTTTAAACCACATCTCTGTTTTATATTCTTTCTGATTTAAATAATAATAATAATAATAATAATCCCATGAAATCTACAAACAGTAAAAATAAAAATCAAAAACAATAAATTCATCTTGAGAAAATTAAGGCAAAGATAATTTAGCCTTCTCTACATATTTTTTTGACTGTATGCTAACATCAATGATTTAAACTAATTATTAATGCAAATGCACAAGCAATACTAAGAGATCACAAATTTGGTATATCCATGGTGACAACTATATGGGATTTCACTTAGTTAGGTTTTTTTTTCTCCATCTTCATACCTGTGAGACCTGATCACATTAAACTTATCTGGGTCTTGGTAATGTACGCATCTCCATTCTTTCCTCCGCATGATCTCATGGCAGTTGGTTTGAGCTCATGATCAGCAATCACCACAAGAAAACTACTTCTTCAGGCGATGTTAAAAGCAGTAACTTTCATAGTTCCATGTCATCAGGATTATTTATCTAATTTAAAACTAACAACATCATATTCCATATTGTATATAATATAAATTAATGTGATACAATGCGTAACAAACAGTGGATTAGTATGAACTTGGTATAATTAATCTACATACATTCTATTTTTAGTCCAACATATCTTTGTTGTCTTATATAGCTTAGTTACAATTCTATTTTAGTTCTTATAATTTGACATTTAATACATAACTACAATTTTATATATTACTTTCTATACACCTCTTTTTAGATTATATGGACCAATACTAATTTAGTATTAAACCTTATGTCTTTCATAGGAATAATCCATCATTCATACAATTGATGTTACACAATATTGAATTCCATACATATACATTGTATGCTACTCATGCCAATGATCAAAATTCATGTTATTGGTTTTCAAATTAAAACACAATTTTTTTTTATTCTAATTCACATTTCTATACTCTACATGAGATACTTCATGTATTACACAAAGTTATCTAGTCATCAAAAATGTCTTCCAAATCAAACTTCAAACAATTTATTCCTATATCATTTTATTAATATAATAATCTACTATAGGAATCTTTAGATCAGCATAAACATTGACATCCTTTCTTTGCCACAATCAATTAAGAACTAAGTTTTAAGTAATATCTCTAAACATCTTCTTCCAACAAGTCCTTTAGTAAATTCTCTTATTTGTTTGCTTTGACATTAGCAAAGCCCTCAGGTATGTTTATCACAAAAACATTTTTTTCTATTTGAGGTTGTATATCTCCTACATCATTTGGTTGTATACTTTTGTTGGACTAGAGATCTATAATGTTCAAATTGAATCTAATTAAAAAGAAAGGATCTTCTTCTTTTTTTGCAAACTACTACTTTCTTCTTCTGCTCTAAGCATCTACTTTTGTAAACACATTTTATTTTGGTGTATGTAGGTCTTTTGAGTAAACTATTTATTGGGCATGGATAGAAAAAGAAAATAAATCCAATCAAATATTAATCGGCATTGAAGAAAAAAAGTTTACAATTGTGAATTTATAGTAGTCACTTTTAATTGTTAGATTTTTTCTTTTATATTAAGCTTTAACCTAATTGCATAATAACACCACAATAATATGGCTCTTGTAACCAAACTGAAATATTTCTTTGATCTTGCCAAAGAATTTGGTATATCATAATGGAAGTTTGAAAATACCACTAGACATTGTAGAAGTTTGCTCAAACAACTCAACAACACCAAAATCAATTTTCTTCTCATTTAACTTTGTTGATTTGTAGTGGAGATGCATTTTGTAAGCCTACATGAACTTAAATGATAATATAATATTGTTTAGCAATTTGGACCAGTATATTACAACTTTTGCCAAAGAAGCTCCAAAATCCATTGTAGCGAAGACCTTATATTATAACTAGACCACAAAAATTGGAAGCTTACATAGCTTGGAGGAAAAATAATATTATGCATCTATTTCTTTTTTGGAGATTTCTACTATAAAAAGTTATTTTGTGTGCTTGACGCTCTTCCTTTGTAGCAAAGTATAGCCTTATAAATGCAAGCAAGAGAACATTTGACCACTTTATATTAATGTTACTTACAAGAACAATATAACTTTATGCTTTTATTCACAAATTGCAATTAAATCATATTAGATTGTTGTAAAAGACTCACATCTATTAAAGTTTTTAAAACTATTTTAATATTTTTTTTATTTTTTAATCATGGCTTTAAGAAAATCACTTATTATTGTCTTTGTATCACAACAATATGCTACTATAAACACAATTTATACATCATTCTTCTTCTTTATATAACATTTATACCTTGTATAGCCACCACTATTGTGTGAGTAAGAAATGTACCAATATTCTTGGACATTGCAACATTTCTTTTATTACAATCAATTCTTCTACTACTTGATATGCAATATTACTAAGATATGGTTGCTTAAAATCTTACCATCTCCATAGTTGGAAATGTACAATATTTATAGCAACAAATTTATGTGCACAACCTAAGAGATCATCCAACATTCACTACTTCACACCATTACCTTCTATGATTTCATTATACATAGACTAGTGCTTTATAGGATCCTATACACAATATGATGATGGCTTGAAGTGTATCATATATTTTGTACAAAAACCAAAAATGTTTTCTATAGAGTATTCTTCTACTATACTTCTTTCTAAACTTGCTTGTATCCTTACATAATTTTTTAATATTTTTATGTATCATTCCATATGATACATCCATTAACAATGCACCGAGCCACAAATGAATAAATCTTTGGTTAAATAAATCATGAGGTGAGTCATTATGTCAAAAAGTCTTAATAGAAAATCCTTCTCTAATATGCAAAAGGTGAGTGCAATATTCTTTAGGAGCTCCTTCTTTTGACTTATATGAAGTATCTTTGAACAAAGCTTATGGAAGAGATTACAAAATTTTATGATAGCATGTCAAACTTCATGTTTAAGAATATATCAAATTGCCAAAGGTAATGCTTGTATATCAATATGTAATAGAGTTGTTGTGAAATGATCACATTTAGGGATACATATTGATTATTTATTTTTTTGTCTTTGTATATTAAATATTAAGCTTTTAAAAACCTTAAAATATTAATTATTCCTAAGAATTAATTGTACCAGAAAAAAATATGTGATGCACTGAGCTCCACATAATTTGAATACTTGAAATTAGTTGATATATCTAATAAGATATTTGGCCTTAATTTTTTTATATAGAACTGGAATTTGTAGAAAATAAAGGAATAGAAATATATAATGATAATTTAAGCATAATCTAAATAGTAAAGAATCTTGTATGTTGTTTTACAATAAAATATTTTATGGTTCTTATGAACTTTATTTGAGACATTTTTGAAGAGAAGAAAATTAAATTTATATATATACTAATAGACCAACAATCTATTGACATACTTGTAAATACCTTGGGCATTATCAAGTTTGAAAATTGGCAAATGCTACTTTATCTCGCAACAAACTAAACTTAAAAAATCTACATCAAGCTTGTATATATAACTCAACATCCATTTAGAATTGGATTTTTTTAAAAATAATTCTTTTATATCCTATCATATCTCACTAATACTTTATCTAGGACAAATATATAGTAAGGCATCTCTTCTTACATATTGCATAGAATCTTTAATAAAATATAACTTAAAAATTTATCTTTTGAAAACTCATTACATCAACAATTTGCATAGAACCACTATAGTTTTGAGATACACAAGAAGGATGGCAACCAAGTAGATAAAACCTAATGTAGTCACAATAGGCTTGACTTGACAAATAAAAATTGGCAGAAGTAAAAAATATTATGGGCTTGTTGAAAATACCAAGCTTATGATGATTATTTACAACATTAGAATGTGAAATACAAAAACAATACAACATCTTATAGATAAAATTCTAAAACAAAACAACAATAATTTATATACCTATAAAGAATACATTCCATGTTAATCAAATCAACAAAGCTAGATGAAGGAAAAAATAATACAAAATTATTTCAAGCAAGGTAAAAACTTACAATACTTAATTTATCAATAAAATTCCATATATTGAGCATCTTGAGGATAAAATTGAAAACTTATCAACATATCTTATTCTATAAAGTTTAAAATTAGAATTAAAAATAAATAGAAAAAATAGTCTAATTTAGGATTTAATAAAGATGTAAGAATTAAATGAAATCTTGAATCTAATCTTCCTATATACATCTTTCATTCATCTAATAATGGTATAATTATGATTAATTAATAGCTAAATTTTATAAAAATTAATAAATAAGAATTCTATATAATAAAATAATTTAATATGTATTTTTTAATTTTCAACATATATTCCTAAAAACCTCATTTTTTTATAAATATATTATATGCTCTTCAAATAATTACTATCTTTTTTTTTTTTTTTTTAAAGAAAATGAGTATT